TCTGGGGATCCTTCAGGTAGCCATAATAAAGCTGCCGTCAGCTTTCGACTTTGTCGAATTCACTCGCTCGCTCTTTGTCAACTGATCTTTTCCCCTCATTATGGTTATTTTTCATTGCATTTTCACTGTGTAACAATTGATTGTTTGTATCTTCCTTTAAATGCCAATTTAATTCATGGAGTGCAGTCTGCTTCTTCAGCAAGTTGGCGTGCATCAGGCCTGGTGCTTTATACTGGAGACCCTTTCTTTGATGTCTGCCCCCATGATGGTTGCTATGGTCTGCTCTTAGACCAGCCATTATGAGCATTGACTGGCCAAGAGGTTTTAGCTTGGCTTGCTGTATAGTTGGCTAACTTCCTTCCTTCTACTTTGATCTTCTCCTTCTGCTTGTCTGTAATGCAGCATTCACATCCCTCACATTGTTTTGGTAACCGACTACAGGTTTCAGGTTTCCAGCTTCGCCACAATCTGTTGGGTCAGCCGCTCTCCGTACTTGGTGCTCAATCTTGGGTGGGGATGAAAGTATCTCCCCCCTGACCTACTAGTTGTTTTGCTGTCAGTCCGTAGCTCCTGTTTTTAGCTGTTTAACGTCTGTTGTTGCCTGACATTTACTTTTTCATGGGTTACATCAAACATTAGTCAGTGATTCCTGACAAATGTTAGTAAATGAGTAAAGGAAAATTTAAAAATAGTGTTAAAATAAAATAAAACTATTTAGAAAATCGAAATCCTCATATATATTTTTTGTTCCCACTCTTGATCTTCCTCCTCTTATTGTTGTGAAACTAATACATTTTTTGATTTATTTTTAACTCAATTCCAAATGTTTGAAATCAATTAACAAAATGTAAAAAAATGAGGGCATAAACACAACCCATACATTAATAGCTAAATTATTAATATTCACAAGACTAACTGCTGCACTTTTTACTTCTATTGAATTTATTTGTGAAATTTGAAAGCAGAGCTGCATGTTTAACAAAACTGTTTTTTTAAATATATAATTCACTTAGATGTAACATGTAGATTATTGCTGTTATTATTTGTAAATGCATCTGTAAGAGCTCTCAGTTGATTGATTTATTGAACTTTAATTTTTTTTTTAAATTTGGGATTGAACTAATTCAAGTGTGTTGTGTTAACATTAAAAACAAACGGAAACAATTACTTTAGTTTCACCGCACTTCTTTAGTGTTTCTGTCCACTCTCATGTTTCCAGTTGGTTCCTGCTGTTATCTGGGTATTGACCTCCATTTTTCTGAAACAGGTGTGCATTTCCCAGCATTGAGTGTTTATCAGCAGCAAGTGGACTTAAACATTTTGTATGTGTTCTGACATCAACATTCTTATTATTCATTATTAGTATTTCTTAGTTAGTATTGTTAGCATCTGATCAGATGATGCAAAAAAAACAAAGCAAGAAACAAAAAACAAGCAAATACACAAACATCTGCCCTAAGATGCACTAATGGGTTTTGAAGAGTTTGTGTAATCATTAACATGTTTAACCTATTTAAACAGCTCTGAGAACCTGGATAGTTTTATTGGCCTGAGTTAAAAATGAAAGAAAAAAAAAAGAAGAGTCATGTTTATGTGACAAATGAAATGAGTTCCAGCTCTGCAAGTTTTACGATGTCAATTGCTGTTTAGTTTTTACAATGAAAAATCGATGTGGAACACCTTTTAGCCTTTTCATGAGATGCCATTTTTTGTGTGTGTCTTGTGATGAGTATAAATAACTGAACTGGATAGATGTGAAGTGAATACTTCAGTTTGAAACATCCTTCAAAGTGAGTTTTTATCTGTTATTGAAATAAGTAAAACTGTTTGGAAAAGATGAATGTTGGTCCTCGTGTTTGTTTCCTGTCATCAAGAACAAACCGAACATCTAACTGGTCAGCAGAGGCGGATCCAGCACAGTCTATCACAGGGCTAACACAGACACACTCACATTCACAACAATGGGCAATTTGAATCACCATCTGACCTAACCCCGCTGTAGCAAACTGTAGCTTATTTTGGTTTGTTGTTTGTTTTTGAAATGAAAAAATATTGTCACATCTATTCTTTATAGCCTGTAGCACATTTAAACAACAGAAGCTCACCCAAAGTCCTCATTTACATTCCAGGTCTCTTAATAAACACAGAATCAATATATAAGAAAACTGTGTTGGTGTTCATTGGGCAAGATAACCCCGAGTTCGCCTCCAAAGCATCTATCATATAAATGTTATGTAAAAAGCACCTATGTAGAAAAAAAGTGTTTGTATGAATGTGTGAATGACGCATGTTGCATAAAGTGCTCAGAGTAGAAAAGTGCTGTATAAGAAACGCTCCAATATCATTTAAATACAGATTGTGGTGTTTAAATGTAATTTTTTTATTTGGCCACTTACAGTGAGTCAGAGGCAACTTAAGCATATCTACATAATTACCGCAAGAAGACACAAAAGTGGTTGAGTAATTAAAAGTGATGAACTTGAGAATTACTGCTTTGGGAACCAAATGGTAGTGTGTCGAGGTTTCTCAGACCGGCAGCAGAAGCATGCTAGTATACTGTGTGACTCCTGTTCACAGCTCTGAGTGACTGCTACTGTTTCTGATGCAGTTTGGTTTTTTGGGATGTTTTTTTATTGTTGTTGTTTTGAGGGGGTTTATTTGTTCCATTGTTTATTTTGTAACAAACTGGCACAGTGGACTCTAAACCAAATATTTAAAATGCGATCAAAGTCAGACTTTCAGCTTTAATTGTTTTACAAAAATTTACCATGAATGTTTTAAGAAACCAGCAAATAATCCCATTTTCAGAGGTATAGAATTAATGGAAAAACTGACTGACATTATGACTAAAGAAGCAGACAATATCTGAAGTGTTGAACTTGTCTTTTATAGCTTTTCACTATAATTTTAATGTAACCGTAAATATGAGATGTTAGTGCAAGAGAGGGAGGCCATCATTTTCCTGAAAACGGAAATAAAGCAATTTAAAAAGAGCAAGAACAAAATTTTAGAAGTGTCCAGATCTGGACAACAA